TACTTTATTTGGCACTGGTTATACCTCAGCTGGAATATTGTGTCCAGTTCTGGACATCACATTTTAAGAAAGATGCACAGAAACTGGAGGGGATCCAAAGGCAAGCAACAAAGATGATAAAGGGGTTGGAATACAAGTGGTTCAAGGAAAGGTTGAGAGGACTAGGTGTGCTTGCTCTAGATAAAAAGGATATTAAGTGGGGCATGATAACAGTTTTGAAATATTTGAAAGGCTGCCATAAAGAAGGAGAACAAATGTTCTCCCTTGATACACAGATGGTAGCACATGAGACACTAGGTTTAACCTGCAGCAAAGCAGATTCAAATCAAATCTCAGAGAAAACTTCCTAACTGTAAAAACAAGACTGCAGAATCAACTGCCCAGGGAAGTTGTGGAATCTCCTTCATTGGAGTTTTGCAAAACTGCATTGTGTATCTTTGCAGGAAGTTGGACTAGAAGAAGGTTTCAGACTGGATATAAGGAAAAAAACGTTTTCATGGTTTGTGTGAGCAGACTCTAAGATAGACTTCTGGTGGGGGCCGTACAGGCTCCTATCCTGGAGATCTAGGGACAGACATTCAAAAAGCCTGAGCCTGAATTGATTCCATCTTTGCAGGTCAGTCTAACCTGGCTATACTAAACCAGTTTTCAACCATACAGACAGTCCCTCTGGACTGAGGAAATTCAGGCACATGCCTGCAGTGGCTCAGGATAGAAGCTGGGGAATGCTAGAGCAGCCCTCCCTTCCCTTCCATAGAGCTGAGCTGAGGGGGCCATGGCCAAGCCCAGCAAGACTTTCTTATTAGGGAGGTCTGCCTACAGGGTCCCAGGCTTTTTCCTCCTGGCTGCTCAAGGGTCAGGTGTATTGTCAGCCCCCAGCCCCAAGCTATTGAGTGGGCGTGTACGGTGCATGCATCTGTTGATGATACAGAGCTTTTCACTCTCCCTCCCTGCTTCTGTATACTATCTACAGCAAACTAACATGCAAGCAAGCTGGGAGAAAGCAGGGACAGATAACACTGTTTATCACCCCTATCTCAGTGTTTATTGCCCCATTAAGAAAATGGAGAGACATTACCAGCTACCTGTTGATTCAGCACAGATGCAGCATGTGATTTGGTGGCTAATACACAAACACCTCTCAGCAAGGCAGAGGGAAGGGGAGAATTTCTGCTTAGCAGGGAGTGTTGTTGGGGGTGGGGGGGAGCAAACAGCTCTTCTCAAACAGTGTTTCCAAGGAAGGACATTTAGCTACCTGTTGATTATCTCCACAAAGCCTGTCTGCCTTGATTGTCTCCCACAGTATGGACTGTAGCCAGCATGTGGTCTGCTAGCTAATGTGGAGGTGTCTGCTTAAGGCAGAGGGGATGGAGGAATAATCCATGCTTAGCAGGGAAAAGCCAGGCAGATGCAGAGGGAGGGACCAGCCCTGCTGTAGGGCAGAGAGCCACATCCAGCCGAGAGAGCATGCTGGGATGCTAGGGATGTCTGGCTTATCTTAAACCAGCAAGGGGTCTGGGACAGACATTGCATAAACTGGTATGAGACAAATCAGTTAAGCCTGATACTACATTCAACCAGGTTTATCTCAAACCAGTTTCAGCCATTATCAAACTGGTTTAAGTGCACTGAACATCTGTTCTGTTACAGGTTTAAACCAGTTTCTGATCACTTAAACCAGTTTATGTGTAATGTCTGTCTCTAACACAAAACAAGATTGAATGCACACCTTGCTGGCATTATTTGACTGCAGCAGTCTTTCCTGCACAGAGTAGGGGGCCTAGACATGATGATCACACAAGGTCCCTTCCAGCCCTAAACTGAGAAGCTGTGAAGCCTTAGGGCCCTTTTCTTTTTTCAGGTACTACATAGCTACTCTGTTTGTTTATACTGAAGACTGGAAACTTGATCCTTGAGTAATTATGTTTTCCACTTTCCTGTCCTCAAGGCCTTTTCCTAAATTCAAGAAACATTACAAAATTAACTATAAAACTAGTCATGAAATTGAAGAGACAATGGGGTCAGAAGAAAAATGAAGTCAATAAGCAAGCAATAGGAGTTGAATTGGGACTAATGTCTGAAAGTTGTATATGAGTGAAGACTTGAAAGATGCAAGTATTGAACTTCTAATAAATTCTGCAGATCAATCCATGGAGTCAGAGGTATAGTCAGCAAATTGAGTGCCTGGGGCAGGGGATGGGAAGAGAAGGAAGAGGTAGAGGATCCTTGGGAACTGAGAGGATCACCATTCTGCTTGATCTACCCATCCCTCTGCTATACACTATATGGTGCAGCACTGTACTGCCTGTGTCCTGTGGTTGGACAGTAGTAGCATGGGGCTTCCCCCACTGCTGCAAAGACTCCCAGTAGGTGTGGGGGGAGGGAATCCTGGTGCCCCTTCTGAGTCAGCACCCAGGGCAGGTATCCCACTTGCCCCCTCCCCTAGTTATACTACAGACTGGAGCCCAGTGGGAATGGTTTTGTGTCCTAAGGTATTCCCCCTTGACGTAGAGAATCACAGAGGCAAGAGAGCCTGGATCTCAACCACAGTAAATTGGAACTGTTCCTCTGAAGTCAACAAAATAGATACCTACTGAGTGAGTTACATTTTTGTCAAGCCAAACAAAGAACTTTTGCTGGAAGAAAAACTAAAAAAGGACTTCAAGAACAATTCTCATATGCTACTTTGTACTTACAAACAGTATAAACTCTTAAGGAGATAGAATCTACCTGAGTGAAAAAACTCCAGAGTTGTAACAGCTATATGTCACTTGCCTGGCCTCTTGAGGGCCATGAATACTGTTTCAATTATTTTTAATGAAAAACTAATTTCTCTTTCTTTTTTTTTTGACAATGCCTATCACAGGCTACAATGCCAAATAGAAGGGTTTGTCTGAAATCCCATCATTCCCCAGATTTTGGCCATTTTCTAAGTAGATTTACAGGTCAAAACCAGTTCTCACTTTGGCACCTCAGACATCTAAGTAGAGCCAGCCAGACATAAAGGCAGATTTGTTCAAGCAAGCAAAGATAGCAGAAAACTTGAGCATGTGCAGTAACAGAATTTTAGGCAGCTAACAAAGTTTCCTAACGAAAATGTGGGTACCTGTAGTGTCTAAAGTACCTAAGTGGTAGGAGGTTTTTGTGTTTCTCTCTTGGATTCAGGTTCCTAAAAGCTTTATTTGATCTTAGGGTATCAATAGAAATCACCTTTTTGCCATAATAAGCATTTTTATAGTGGCACAAAGGCCAAGAAAACAGACCTCTATGTCCCTTATTGCACCACAAATGCTCAAAATCTGAGGCCATGACATAGATGGCAAAAAGATATGCTGTTTTATAGATTCATAGATTCATATATTGTTAGGGGCTGGAAGAGACCTTGTAGATCATCCGGCACTAGGCAGAAAAAGACAACTGGGGTCAAGTGAACCCTGCGAGGTGACTGTCCAGTCTCCTGTTGAAGATTTCCAGGGTAGGTGATTGCACCACCACTGGAGGGAGTTTATTCCACATTTCTGGACACGCTGACTGTGAAGGAGTTTTTCCTGCTATTGAGCTTGAAGCAGTCTTCCAAGGAGTTTGTATCCATTGCTCCTGGACTTTCTCAGGGGTGCCCTAGTGAACAGCTGTTCACCGAGTTCTTGATGTACCCCCCTGATGTAGTGATAAGCCGCTCCCAAGTCCCCTCTCAGCCTTCTCTTCTGCAGATTGAAGAGGCCCAAGTCCCTCAGCCTCTCCTCGTATGCCTTGTCTTGCAAGTCCCTGATCATATCGGTGGCTCTCCTCTGGACCCTCTCCATTTTTTCCACATCCTTGTGGCACCCAGAACTGGATGCAGTACTCCAGCTGCGGTCTCACCAGTGTGGAGTACAGGGGGAGTATCACTTTTTTTAGTTTTGCATGAGATGCAATGGTTAATGTATGCCAGCATGTTGTTTGCCCTGCTGGCCACAGCATTGCACTGCCAACTCATGTTCATGCGATGGTCAATCACTACCCCTAGGTCCCTTTTGACTATGGTGCAAGTCAAATTGTCATCACCGAGCCTGTAGGTATGTTGGGGATTGTTTGCCCCTAGATGACGCACCTTGCACTTCTGAGTGTTGAACTTCATCTGGTTCCAGCCCGCTCAGCTCTCCAGCTTGTCCAGGTCTGCCTGTATTTGCAACCTATCTTTTGGCATGACCACGCTCCCCCATAACTTGGTGTCGTCCAACTTGGTGTCGTCCACCAGCTTAGCCAGTGAGCTTTTCACCCTCACATCCAAATCATTGATTTTATTGAGTCAGTTGTGTTTGTTTTAGGCATGGGAGTACAGGCAGTCCAGAACAGGTGCTCCACCCTGAACAGGTGCTCCCAGAGGTTGAGGGTCCCAATTCTGCATCCCCAAGGAAATCCTGCCTTAGATCTGGCCCCTCATGCCCTGGGGGCACCTGCTCGGCTTTCCCCTCTTACAGAGATGCACCCTGGAGATTCCCTGCGAAACATCTCTGTAAGCAGAGAACCCTGGTTTTCTCCATTTACAGAGACATACCCCAGAGATTCCCTGTGGTGTGTTTCTGCAAGTGGAGACAAGATCAATGGGTGACATGCATTTCACCCAATAAAGATGATCAGCTGTGTTGGGACACTTCTTGGTACAGGTTACCTGCTTCATTTGGTTACATCTATTTGTACCTTTACCCTAGCTGCTAATGCAGCACAGAACGCAAAATTTTAGTTAGTTATATCCTATACAGGTTACTATAACAATAGAAATGAGACGGTCTCCCCACTTTCTAGGGGGAGTTTGAGTTATCACATATCATCCCCAAAGAACCCACAACAGCTACATTTCCAGAGTGTCATTCTTGTTCCTAATAATGCTATAATTGAATGGTGAAGCTGTTAACGACTCTAAGCTTTTGTGTGAAACTTCATAAAAAATGAATCGGACACATTTTCCCAAGCAGAAAGGCCTCTAGCCATGCCTCAAGCCTGTGCTACAGTGTACTTACATGTTTTGTGAAATTTATGTTTTACATCAAGAAGGGTAGATGTTGGAGGTACCTGGAAAAGAAAACAAAATGGAAACAAATTAAGTTTTGTTCTTCTCTGTTCTTCTATTCTGGGGGTGGGGGACTCATTCCATGAAGAACCATTTTGGTTTCTTTGAATCTGCTACAGATAATAAACATGCTAATCAGTGGCTTTCCCTCTGACTTAACTGCTCTTTAACACTGCTTATTTATCCACAGAGCTTTTGGCCATATCTGGAATTGGCCCAGTTCAACCATTAGTGAGCAGGAATTGATAGGAATTGTTCTGGTGTAAAGCCCAGGTCTTGAAAAAGAAAGATTTCTGGTGAGACAGTTGTTGTCCTAAAGATCACACCAATGGGGTTACTCAAGGGGTAATACTTTACCCAGTGTAAGTAATGGTATCATCATCTGGCTTTCAAAGATAGGAACAGATATGAAATAGAAGCATTGAAAATCAATAGTTTCATAACATCAATCAGAACCCAAAAGTTTGACAGTCTCCCCAAGACACCACTAGTAAAATGATCTTAAGTTTAGCTGTGAAGTCTGACTTCTGTGGGTACAGCAACAGGGTGAAAATAAATAATTTCAGTTTTCAAAATTTAAATTCTAGGGTGGCTGTAGTAATGCAGAAGAAAGTGTTTTTTTCATGTGTTGACTTCTCCTGATATCCATTCATTGCAAGTGAAAGATAGGTCAAGGGGTTGAAGTATTAGACTGTAATTTGAAAGACTGGGATCCATTCTTTGCTCATTATTTAATAATTGTTTAAAGTAAGTTACATAAACATAAAATACTTAAAACATACATAAATACTTAAAGCAAGGGCTGGAAGCTGGATCTACCTTCTCCTAAGTGAGAGTCCTGAGCAGTAGGCTACAAAAGACAAAGTTATGAGTATCAATATTCTAAAGACTGAGAAGAGCACAGATAAAACACAGATGAAGGATGGGTGCAGATACTACCTTAAAATAGACCTTGTTCCTTTCAGACTTTGAAGGGATAGTACGGAAATGGCCAATTGATGGAAATGAAACAGCAGATCAAAGAAAGAATGAGATAACAATAACAGTTTAATATGGGTGTGGGAGAAAAGAAAAAACATTACCAATTTGACATACAGTACAAATATACAATAGATGTGTCATAAGATGTGTTCAAAGCATAGGGCACAAGCAGGAGGAACATGCCCTCCTGAGAGCTAGCAAAACCCAGACCTAGTGGGGCTCATGGAAACCTGGTGGGATTCTACCTATGACTGGGCAGTGGACATTGAGGGATACATACTGTACAGGCAAGACAGAGCAGGGAAAAGGGCGGGGGTGTAGCGCTATACGTCAAAGAACAATACATGTCCTCAATGATCAGGATGGGGTCAAAGGAGCTCTGGGTAAGAATGCAAGGGGGGCGTGGGGAAAGGGACTTGATAGTGGGCATCTACTACAGATCGCCTCACCAGGGGGATGAGCTGGACCTGGAATTCTCAGGTCATCTCACGGAGGTAGTAAAGTCAAGGGATTTGGTTGTCATGGGTGACCTAAACTACTCAGAAATCTGCTAAGAGGAGCAGTCAGCCAGGTCCGACCACTCACATAGGTTCCTAGCAGGGATACAGGACCTCCACCTAACCCAAGAAATGCATAGTCCCACCAGAGGAAATGCCTTGCTGGACTTGGTCCTTGCCACAGGCGACGACCTGGTGAGGGGTCTGCAAGTACTCAACCACCTGGGTGACAGTGACCATCACCTGCTGGAATTTAATATCTGGCGCAGGGTGGCGAAAGCAAGCAGCAAGGCAGAGGCCCTTGACTTCAGGAGGGACGACTTCTGTAAGCTAAGAAGGTTAGTAGGAGAGGCATTGGGGTCTCGGAGCTTCAATGAGATGGGAGTCCAAGACGGGTGGTTGTTCCTCAAGGAGACAATCCTCCAAGCTCAAAGGGAGTCAGCCCCAATGTGCACCAAGGGGGGCAGAAGTGCTAAGAAGCCTCCATGGCTCAGCAAAGGCATCCAGGGATGCCTGAGGGCAAAAAAGGAGGCATACAAACAGAGGAAGCAAGAAGTTATCATGAAGGAGGATTACACCTCTGTTGCTCAGGACTGCAGGGAGACTGTTAGGAAGGCCAAGGCAGAGATGGAGTTAGGGCTAGTGATCAGAGTTAAGGATAATAAAAAGTCTTTTTTCAAATACATAGGAAGTAAGAAGAAGGTACCAGGTAACATGGGGCCCCTACAGCATGTAGCTCAGGGCTACATGCTTGGCAATCTGATGATTGTGGCAAATGAAAAAGCTGACCTCTTTAATGAATTCTTTGCCTGCATAGTCCTGAACAGGGACCAGGACATCTCCCCCACTAGAATTGCAGATGGACCCTGGGGAGACACTGCCATGCCTAGGGCCAGGGATGACCTAGTTAGGGAACGTTTGGAGGGGCTGGATGTGTTTAAATCAGTAGGTCCAGATGCTCTTCACCCAAGGGTGCTGAGGGAATTGGCAGGGGTCATAGCGGGGCACTGGCCAGGTACCAGAGGATTGAAAAAGGGCCAATGTGCTCCACATTTACAAGAAGTAGAGAAAAGAGGACCCTGACAATTATAGGCCAGTCAGTCTTACCTCGGTCCTTGGGAAGACCACTGAGAATTATCAAGCAGCACATCTCCAAGGGCCCAGGAGGGAACGTAATGCTCAGGGGCAACCAGCGTGGGTTCATTGAGGGCAGGTCCTGCCTAACTATCCTGGTTTCTTTTTATGATCAGGTCACAAAGTCCCAGAACAAGGGTGTTGGGGTGGATGTCATGTTCCTGGACTTTAAGAAGGCCTTTGACATGGTTTCCCACCATATTCTCTTAAAAGAAACTTGGTGACTGTGGCATTGATACCTACCCAGTCAGATAGGTGGCAAATTGGCTAGATGGTCGCACCCAGAGAGTGGTTGTGGATGGGTAGTTTTTGACCTGGAGGGATGTGGGCAGTGGAGTCCCCCAGGGCTCAGTCCTGGGGCTTGTACTGTTCAACATCTTTATCAGTGATCTGGATGTGGCTGTGGAATGCACGCTATCCAAATTTGCTGATGACACCAAGTTGTGAGGCGAGGTGGGCACGGTAGACAGGAGGGACAGAATCCACCTCTAGGTCTAGACAGGTTACAGAGGTGGGCGGATGAGAATAGGATGGAATTCAACACAGACAAGTGCAAGGTGCTGCATCTTGGGAGGAGGAACCAGCAACACACCTATAGTCTGGGGAACACTCTTCTTGTCAACACGGTGGCAGAAAGGGATCTTGGAGTCATTGTTGACTCCAAGATGAACATGAGCCACCAATGCGAGGAAGCGGTCAGTAAGGCTATATGCACCTTGTCATGCATCTACAGATTAATCACAAGCAGGTCCAGGGGGGTGATCCTTCCCCTCTATGCAGCATTGGTCAGGCCACAGTTGGAGTACTGCATACAGTTCTGGGTGCCACACTTCAAGAGGGATGTGGCTAGCATTGAGAAGGTCCAGAGGAGGGCCACTTGTATGGTCAAGGGACAGTGGGGCAGGCCCTATGAAGAGAGGCTAAAGGGCCTGAACCTATTCAGCCTCCACAAGAGAAAACTGAGAGGGGAACTGGTGGCTGTTTACAAACTCACCAGGGATGACCAGTGGGAATTGGGGGAGGCTCTGTTCCCCCAGGCACCACCCAGGGTTACTAGGAATAATGGCCACAAATTGTTAGAGAGGAGGTTCAGGCTGGACATCAGGAGACATTACTTTACAGTTCGGGCTGCCAAGCTCTGGAATGGGCTCCCAAGTGAGGTGGTACTCTCTCCTACCTTGGGAGTCTTCAAGGGGAGGCTGGACAGATATTTGGCTGGGGTGATATCATCCCGGCACCCGTTCCTTCCTGGGGCAGGGGGTCAGACCTAATGATCTGCTTAGGTCCCTTCCGACCCTAAGTATTATGCTACTATGATACTATTAAGATTACGGGTAAATTAGTATTTCTAAAGTAACAATAAGCTATGAAATAGGGTAGTAGCTATATATGTTGACAAAATAGCTATGTTTTGTCAACAGCTATGTTTTTGTTGATCATTAAATATGCTCCTTTAATTAATATAATTAATCAGTCACCTCCAGTTGTAGCTTTGGCACCCACCACTGCTGAAGAACTGAATTCTACATGTAATAGCTGTAAATTTATGGGAGATATTCCAGAGCTGGGAGGTAAGAACGAACCATTTCTTATAGGTGGGGGCTGTTCATTAAATAGAGAAACTTGGGCTCTGAAAACTAGAAGTAGAATGAGAAATATGCTCCTTCAAAAGCCTTTCTTTGCCAAAACCTTTGCCAAAACCTTATCTCTTTGCACAGAAGTCAACGGAAATTCTATTGATATGCCTGCCAGCAAAAACTCATCCTATAAATTTTTTTAACTGTTCCTGTAGAGTCTTGAAAAATTTGATTTTTTGAGTGGGAGGTTGAGTCCACATTTAGAATTACTGTTAAGATTGCAGAAATACCCAGAAACTACTGCTGTTGAGTGCGTCCACACATGCAAGCATGTGAGCTTGCAGCAGCTCAAATAGAAGTGGTTCAAATTTGAGCCTAGGCTTTTTGCCTCAGCTCAGACATGCACTTTGTTGTGGAGCAAATTGTGCCACTTGGAGCAAAATAACCCTGCCTGGCTTCTCCTGGATCTGCAGCCCAGGAACAGCTAGAGCCTGGGGCCAGTACCTGTGCTGTCCCCAGGAGTATAAAAAGCTTCCCTGCCCTGGCCCCAGCAGTAAAACAAGGTGCTCCACCAATGCGAGGAAGCGGTCAGTAAGGCTATATGCACCTTGTCATGCATCTACAGATTAATCACAAGCAGGTCCAGGGGGGTGATCCTTCC